AAAAAAAAAAAAAAAAAAAAAAAAAAAAAAATTGCCATGTGGTCAATGGGAGACATACACTGCCATGTGGTCAATGGGAGACATACACAGCCATGTGGTCAATGGGAGACATACACAGCCATGTGGTCAATGGGAGACATACACAGCCATGTGGTCAATGGGAGACACACACAGCCATGTGGTCAATGGGAGACACACACAGCCATGTGGTCAATGGGGGAGACACAGCCATGTGGTCAATGGGAGACATACACAGCTATGTGGTCAATGGGAGACACACACAGCCATGTGGTCAATGGGGGAGACACAGCCATGTGGTCAATGGGAGACATACACAGCTATGTGGTCAATGGGAGACACACACAGCCATGTGGTCAATGGGGGAGACACAGCCATGTGGTCAATGGGAGACATACACAGCTATGTGGTCAATGGGAGACACACACAGCCATGTGGTCAATGGGAGACACACACAGCCATGTGGTCAATGGGAGACACACACAGCCATGTGGTCAATGGGAGACATACACAGCCATGTGGTCAATGGGAGACACACACAGCCATGTGGTCAATGGGAGACACACACAGCCATGTGGTCAATGGGAGACACACACAGCCATGTGGTCAATGGGAGACACACACAGCCATGTGGTCAATGGGAGACATACACAGCCATGTGGTCAATGGGAGACATACACAGCCATGTGGTCAATGGGAGACACACAGCCATGTGGTCAATGGGAGACACACACAGCCATGTGGTCAATGGGAGACATACACAGCCATGTGGTCAATGGGAGACACACACAGCCATGTGGTCAATGGGAGACACACACAGCCATGTGGTCAATGGGAGACACACACAGCCATGTGGTCAATGGGAGACATACACAGCCATGTGGTCAATGGGAGACATACACAGCCATGTGGTCAATGGGAGACATACACAGCCATGTGGTCAATGGGAGACATACACAGCCATGTGGTCAATGGGAGACATACACAGCCATGTGGTCAATGGGAGACATACACAGCCATGTGGTCAATGGGAGACACACACAGCCATGTGGTCAATGGGAGACACACCTTACCTACCTACCTTGAGGCTACCTTGAGGTGCTTCCGGGGCTTAGTGTCCCCGCGGCCCGGTCGTCGACCAGGCCTCCTGGTTGCTGGACTGATCAACCAGGCTGTTAGACGCGGCTGCTCGCAGCCTGACGTATGAGTCACAGCCTGGTTGATCAGGTATCCTTTGAAGGTGCTTATCCAGTTCTCTCTTGAACACTGTGAGGGGTTTGCCAGTTATGCCCCTTATGTGTAGTGGAAGCGTGTTGAACAGTCTCGGGCCTCTGATGTTGATAGAGTTCTCTCTCAGAGTACCTGTTGCACCTCTGCTTTTCAACGGGGGTATTCTGCACATCCTGCCATGTCTTCTGGTCTCATGTGGTGTTATTTCTGTGTGCAGGTTTGGGACCAGCCCCTCAATTATTTTCCACGTGTAAATTATTATGTATCTCTCCCGCCTGCGCTCAAGGGAGTACAGATTAGGCTCTTTAGTCGGTCCCAGTAATTTAGATGTTTTACTGAGTGGATTCTAGCAGTAAAGGATCTCTGCACGCTCTCTAGGTCAGCAATTTCTCCAGCTTTGAAAGGGGCTGTCATTGTGCAGCAGTACTCCACTCTAGATAGCACAAGCGTTTTGAAAAGTATCATCATCGGTATAGCATCTCTAGTGTGAAAAGTTCTTGTTATCCAACCTGTCATTTTTCTTGCAGTTGTGACGGCTACTTTATTGTGTTCTTTAAAGGTAAGGTCTTCCGACATGAGTACACCCAGGTCCTTTACATTGCCTTTTCGTTCTATGTTATGATTTGCCTGCGTTTTGTACGTGGTTCCTGTTTTTATGTTTTCAATTTTTCCGTAGCGCATGAGCTGAAACTTATCCTCGTTGAATACCATATTATTTTCTGTAGCCCATAGAAAGACCTGATCAACATCTGATTGGAGGTTTGCCGTGTCCTCTATGTTGCCAACTCTCATGAAAATCCTAGTGTCATCTGCAAAGGATGATACAGTGCTATAGGTTGTGTTCTGGTCTATGTCCGATATGAGGATGAGAAAAAGTACTGGAGCAAGCACAGTACCCTGGGGGACTGAGCTCTTCACGGTTGATGGGCTGGATTTTATTTTGTTGACTATTACACATTGGGTTCTGTCAGTCAGGAAATTGTAGATCCATCTGCCTATTTTCCCGGTAATTCCTTTTGAACGCATTTTATGTGCAATAACACCATGGTCACATTTATCAAAAGCTTTTGCGAAATCTGTGTAAATTACATCAGCGTTTTGTTTGTCTTCCATAGCATCTAATGCCATATCATAGTGGTCCAGCAACTGCGACAGGCAAGAGCGCCCTGTTCTGAAACCATGTTGTCCGGGGTTATGGAGATGCTGTGATTCCATGTATTTTGTGATCTTACTTCTTAGCACTCTCTCAAAAATTTTTATGATGTGCGATGTTAGTGCTATCGGTCTGTAATTTTTTGCCTCTGCCTTATTCCTCCTTTATGGAGTGGTGCTATCTCTGCTGTTTTTAGTATGTTAGGGATAACGCCAGTATCTAGGCTTTGTCTCCACAGAATGTGAAGGGCCTGCGATAGTGGTTTTTTACAGTTCTTGATGAATATGGAGTTCCAAGAATCCGGGCCTGGTGCAGAGTGCATAGGCATACTGTTTATGGCTTCTTCAAAATCTAGTGGGGATAGGGCGACGTCTGATATGTGATTTGATGTTGGTATCATATCCATGAAAAATTCATTTGGGTTATCAATCTTTAGTGCATTTAATGGCTCACTGAAAACAGAGTCGTACTGCTTCCTCAGTAACTCGCTCATTTCTTTGTTGTCATCTGTGAAAGTTCCATCTCCCTTTCGCAGGGGCCCGATACTAGATGTGGTTTTTTGATCTTGATTTGCATAGGAGAAAAAAATATTTCGGATTCTCTCTATTTCACTGATGGCCTTTTGCTCTCTTTGCCTCTCCTGGGCTTTGTATGATTCTTACACAGCCATGTGGTCAATGGGAGACATACACAGCCATGTGGTCAATGGGAGACATACACAGCCATGTGGTCAATGGGAGACATACACAGCCATGTGGTCAATGGGAGACATACACAGCCATGTGGTCAATGGGAGACACACACAGCCATGTGGTCAATGGGAGACACACACAGCCATGTGGTCAATGGGAGACACACACAGCCATGTGGTCAATGGGAGACATACACAGCCATGTGGTCAATGGGAGACACACACAGCCATGTGGTCAATGGGAGACACACACAGCCATGTGGTCAATGGGAGACACACACAGCCATGTGGTCAATGGGAGACACACACAGCCATGTGGTCAATGGGAGACATACACAGCCATGTGGTCAATGGGAGACATACACAGCCATGTGGTCAATGGGAGACATACACAGCCATGTGGTCAATGGGAGACATACACAGCCATGTGGTCAATGGGAGACATACACAGCCATGTGGTCAATGGGAGACATACACAGCCATGTGGTCAATGGGAGACATACACAGCCATGTGGTCAATGGGAGACACACACAGCCATGTGGTCAATGGGAGACACACACAGCCATGTGGTCAATGGGAGACACACACAGCCATGTGGTCAATGGGAGACACACACAGCCATGTGGTCAATGGGAGACACACACAGCCATGTGGTCAATGGGAGACACACACAGCCATGTGGTCAATGGGAGACATACACAGCCATGTGGTCAATGGGAGACATACACAGCCACACAAACACAGAGACGGGCGAGGTCAATCTTGCCTTAACAAGAGGCGGGGGTGAAAGTGGGTGTGTTAGCGAGGCACTCGACGAAGGCGGCTACACTGAACCAGATTTGATCTACACCTTTTATGTAGTGTTATAAGAGAAGCCCATCGGGCGATTCTGGTACCCTTAGTGACTTGTTTAGTACGATGTGGGTCTACCTGACAGATGGTCCCTGTGATCTGCTCTGATATCCTGGTCTTGTTGATAACAAAATCTACCTCCACGCGCAATCAAAGTCATGGAAATGATTTCTCCAGATGCTGGGAAGCCTGCTCTTTCATAGGAGTTTCGTGGGCTTTTTACAGCCCCCAATCAGATCATCAGATTAACCTGCCCAAATTTGCACAGTCGAATAATAACATACTGGAGTGAAAGTTATGGAAGGAAATGCAGAATAGAACCAGTGAGGAGGCGAGGTGCCCATAGGTACAGAGAGTCCAACCCGTCCTCTTACAAGTTACGTCGCTTTTCGCTCGTATGCGCTACGGCCAAAAATGGTCGTAATTTAAAAATGAAAAATAATTAAAAATAAATTTTGGATTTTTTCCAAAATAACAAGTTAAGGGTCCTCTGGTAGGTTAGAAGGGCAGGTGTTCTCCTAAGGTGTCAAAACGTCATGAAAACTGTTAATTGAAAGTTTCGTAACCTAACAGCATAAGCCAGAGGACCCAAAACAGAAAACGGGACAGTACGTCACTTTCGTGAGCCGATTTCATTTGAAATTACGTCGATTTTTACCCTGAATGCGCATACGGGCGAAAAGGGACTTAATTTGTAAGAGTACGAGTGGAACAGCAGAAGTTCACGGTTGTTCAATACACTCCCAGCAAGCATTAGAAATATTGCCGGAACAAAGAAGGACTTCAAGAAAAATTATATAAGTTCTTGCAAAAAGTGGCCAACCTTCCGGGCTGTAGTGTGTATGTGGGGCCTGCGGATAACTGCAAGCAACAGCCTGTTGGACCAAGTTATTACAAGTCGAGTCTGGCCCCAGGCCAGTCTCGAGGAGTAGAACTCCCGAGACCCTCTCCAGGTATGTTCCAGGTAAGACCAGATCATTTAGGCCTAGGCCTGATTCTACTCTTAATTTAACACCTCTGTGCAGACCTCCAGTGTCTGTTCCCTCGTCACACAATTAAAAAAAGGTGGAGGGGTCGGCTACAGCCATCCCAGATACACTCACAAGCTTCCTGCTTGCTTCACCTGCCACACTCACAAGCTTCCTGCTTGCTTCACCTGCCACACTCACAAGCTTCCTGCTTGCTTCACATGCCACACTCACAAGCTTCCTGCTTGCTTCACATGCCACACTCACAAGCTTCCTGCTTGCTTCACATGCCACACTCACAAGCTTCCTGCTTGCTTCACATGCCACACTCACAAGCTTCCTGCTTGCTTCACATGCCACACTCACAAGCTTCCTGCTTGCTTCACATGCCACACTCACAAGCTTCCTGCTTGCTTCACATGCCACACTCACAAGCTTCCTGCTTGCTTCACATGCCACACTCACAAGCTTCCTGCTTGCTTCACCTGCCACACTCACAAGCTTCCTGCTTGCTTCACCTGCCACACTCACAAGCTTCCTGCTTGCTTCACATGCCACACTCACAAGCTTCCTGCTTGCTTCACCTGCCACACTCACAAGCTTCCTGCTTGCTTCACATGCCACACTCACAAGCTTCCTGCTTGCTTCACATGCCACACTCACAAGCTTCCTGCTTGCTTCACATGCCACACTCACAAGCTTCCTGCTTGCTTCACATGCCACACTCACAAGCTTCCTGCTTGGTTCACATGCCACACTCACAAGCTTCCTGCTTGCTTCACCTGCCACACTCACAAGCTTCCTGCTTGCTTCACATGCCACACTCACAAGCTTCCTGCTTGGTTCACCTGCCACACTCACAAGCTTCCTGCTTGGTTCACCTGCCACACTCACAAGCTTCCTGCTTGCTTCACCTGCCACACTCACAAGCTTCCTGCTTGCTTCACATGCCACACTCACAAGCTTCCTGCTTGCTTCACATGCCACACTCACAAGCTTCCTGCTTGCTTCACCTGCCACACTCACAAGCTTCCTGCTTGCTTCACATGCCACACTCACAAGCTTCCTGCTTGGTTCACCTGCCACACTCACAAGCTTCCTGCTTGCTTCACCTGCCACACTCACAAGCTTCCTGCTTGCTTCACATGCCACACTCACAAACTTCCTGCCCAACCACTTGGGCTGGACGGTAGAGCAACTGGTCTCGCTTCATGGGGGTCTGCGTTCAATCCCCCGACCGTCCAAATGGTTGGGCACCATTCCTTTCCCCCCGTCCTGTCCCTGATCCTTATCTTGACCCCTTCCCAGTGCTATATAGTCATAATGGCTTGGCGCTTTCCCCTAACAATTCCCTTCCCTCCACAAGCTTCGTGCTTGCTTCACACGTCACAAGACGTGTGAAGGATTGTTTTATGATTGATGTAATCATTACAGGTGTTCTTACAACAGGTGTTGGGCAGCTTTTCTACAATAATTATACCAACTAAGAGATGTACAAAAAATATACCAACTCGTCACTAGCTCTATTATATGCATTTCCTGTCGCATCTTCCTCTCCATTTAGAAAGTAAGCTGTTATTTTGTTGTGCATAGTTTGAGACCTAATCTCCGAGTATCTTCCATGTATATATTATCTGATACCTCTCAACTTCTTCTTCTTCTTTCTAACGAGCCTATTTTGAGTGCTTTGCGACGGTCCCAATAATTTAGGTGCTTTACCTTGTCTATACGAGTCTTGTATATTCTCTACATTCCCTGTATTTGCTAAATCTCCCCTGCTATGAAGGGGGGAAGTGAGTACCAAGCAGTACTCAAGGAGGGAAGTTAGTTAGTTTAGTTCCTTTATTATGCACCCCATACCCATCTTGTGGGCGGTAGTGGAAAGGGTTACAGAGGCACATAATGGGCTCAGGGACTGAACCCCACAATTCATTTAGCTAAGCAAGTTACAATCTTGATGAGCTAGTTACAAAATTCAGTACAAGTAGTCACATCATCAATGGGTTCAAGATCGATCACAAATACAGTTACGCAACTGACATATGTGGAGAGCTAATGTCACAATTGATATGTTTGTCCTGCACACCGCCCCCCATCCAGTGGGCAGCGGTGGATAGGTTACAGTCTCTTAGTTACTACCTACAGTCACAAGTGATTTGAATATTAGGGGCAATGTGTTTTTAAGAGTCTCATAATTCATCTTTATCATTTTCCTCTCTGATGCTATTTTATCATTATCATTTTATTCCACTAAACGTTAGGTTGTCTGGCATCATTATTTCCAGATTCTTAAACGTAACAACTAAGGAAACTACAGAAGACCTAAATTGGCCCCCATACTAAACACCTATTTATATCCACCAAGATTCATCCATATTTATGTCTGATCTACACTTAAAACAATCAAGTGATCCTACATCTATTACTTGAACATAAGAACATAAGAACAAAGGTAACTGCAGAAGGCCTATTGGCCCATACGAGGCAGCTCCTATTCTATAACCACCCAATCCCACTCATATACTTGTCCAACCCGCGCTTGAAACAATCGAGGGACACCACCCCTCTTTCCTAAAATCTTTCCTAAAAATTTTAAAAATTCTTTCCTAAATCTAAACTTATCCAATTTATATTTGTTGTAACTTGATTGTAACTTGTTGCCTGGTAATGTGCCATAGGTCAACCACCCTATTTCTAAACCAGTGTTCCCCCCCCCCCCAGGGTCTTTCCTGGGTTGAAAACTTATCCAATTCTTATCCCTCGTTGCCAGTTCTATTGTCTGTTTATATCTTCAGCACCTTATTAATATCCTCTTTATTATACCCTTTTCTCCATTTGCATACTTTAATCATATGCCCCCCCCTAATTCTTCGCCTTAGTTTGGTGTATCTGACAATCTTATCTGTAAACTTATAACTTGTGTATCTTGTAAACTTAGGCCTCGTAGCTTGAATTTCGTTTACGTTCTTGTTTTCTTTATCATTTGTTAAGTATGCGGAATTTATCACTTTAAAATCATGTTAATTTATGAAGCCCCGTCGAAGACTTTATTGATAAGACTTTACTTTCAGACTAAAAAGTAAAAAGTAAATTATTTTTAAAGGGAGGGAGTAAAAAGAGGTAAATTAAACTTAATTATTACTCTAATATACAAATCGCCAGATACAACGGCTGAGAAATTCACTGAACAGGTAAAGAAGAGAGGGAAGAGCCTCGATAATCTGGCAAATCCAATACCTGATATTATCTTCGTAGGAGACTTCAGCCTGCCTAGTCTAAGATGGAGAATAACAAACAATAATATTATACCAGGAAATCTATCGGGACACAACCAACCACAGATTGGAGAACTGCCTAGATTCTATGATAAATGTTCACTCAACCAGCAGATAACAGAGCCAGCAAGGAACGAAAATATTCTAGATCTGGTCGTCACAAACAATAAGGATATAATCAGGGGTACATTACTATCTCAGATGCCACATACTCAGATTACAAGCTCAATAAAGTGCAAATTAACATTAATACTTGTAATAGGCCTCAAACAATGATAAAGTGAAAAGGGTTATTCAATAAATTAAATTTTAGATAAATAAAATTAATAAAAGGATATAAATAAAATAATTATTCTAATTATAAATAGTTAAAATAAATTAATAAATTTAATTACAATAAATTAATAAAAGGATAGACTGGGAAAAGATAAACAGGAAACTTACAAACATTCAATGGGAAACTGTTCTAAATAATAGAAATCCCTCACAAAGAATAGGACAACTGACTTCCGAAGCATATAAAGTCTGAAACATGTTCCTTTGCGGACATGCAGAAACAGGACCAACGGAGAAAGAGAACGCAGACGACACTACAAAAGCTGTAAAGAAATAGATGAAATGCTTAACAGATACGACTATCACTACAAAGATGGAATAATTTACAGAGGGAGATTGAAGAAATCAAGCAGATAATCAATCATATCTGATTGAAATAATGCAATTAGAACTGAAAGTCATACAAGAGATAAGGAAAAACCCAAAATATTTCTTCACAAACAAAATAAAAAAACTACTATCAGTATTGGATCTATTTTTATAATTGAAAGTTCACACACGGAGGATGACAAAGAAATTAGTGAAATCCTAAAAAAGCAGTATGAGGACATGTCGAGCACCCCCCAATAAACAGTATGAAAGTGGACGATCTGGGCAACTTATTTATGCATGATATCCAAACCCCTGTAAATATAACTGATATCAACACTTAAATATGAGTCTTGTGATATTACCGTACTGGTCCATGGTGTGTTGTGATGTTACCATACTGGACCATGGTGTGTTGTGATATTGCCATACTGGACCATGGTGTGTTGTGATATTACCATACTGGACCATGGTGTGTTGTGATATTACCGTACTGGACCATGGTGTGTTGTGATATTACCATACTGGACCATGGTGTGTTGTGATATTACCATACTGGACCATGGTGTGTTGTGATATTGCCATACTGGACCATGGTGTGTTGTGATATTACCATACTGGACCATGGTGTGTTGTGATATTACCGTACTGGTCCATGGTGTGTTGTGATGTTACCATACTGGACCATGGTGTGTTGTGATATTACCATACTGGACCATGGTGTGTTGTGATATTACCATACTGGACCATGGTGTGTTGTGATATTACCATACTGGACCATGGTGTGTTGTGATATTACCATACTGGACCATGGTGTGTTGTGATGTTACCATACTGGACCATGGTGTGTTGTGATATTACCATACTGGACCATGGTGTGTTGTGATGTTACCATACTGGACCATGGTGTGTTGTGATGTTACCATACTGGACCATGGTGTGTTGTGATATTACCATACTGGACCATGGTGTGTTGTGATATTACCATGGACCAGTACGGTAATATCAATATATCAACAGACTCATGGAATTCAATATTTATAAAGAAATGCAAAGTGCCAGTAGTACAGACACTCAGTATAGTGTGGAGGAAGAGCTTGGACACGGGGGAGATACCAGATGCGCTTAAATCAGCAGACAAAGCCCCTCTACACAAGAGAGGAAGCAAAGCATTGGTCAAGACCATTTGCACTAACGTCCCACACAATAAAAGTATTTGGGAGAGTGACGAGGAGTCAGGTCTCCAGTTTCATGGAGACCAATGACCTCCATAGCCTAGCCCAACATTGATTTAGAGCGAGAAGGTCATCCCTTTCGCAGCTTCTTGGCCACTATGACAAAATCTCCGAGGCATTAGAAGAAAAACAGAATGAGGATGTGGTATTCACGACCTTCGCAAAGGCATTCGATAAAAGTGACCATGGAGTGATAGCACTCAAAATAATATCTATGGTAATAATAGGTAAAGTAGGACGATGGATATTAAATTTTCAGTCGAACAGAAAACAAAGTAACAGTCAATCAAATAAACAAAAATATAAGTCACAGCTTCGTATCATCTTTTGCAGACACAAAAATCAGCATGAAACTTACTTCTGTTGAAGACATTGAAAAATTACAAGCAGATATTAATAAAATTTTAGACTGAGCAGCAGAAAACAACATGATGTTTAACGGTGATAAATTCCGGGTACTCAGGTACGGTAAAAATGAGAACCTTAAACATAATACAGGTTACAAAACACAATCAAATCTGCCCATAGTAGGAAACCAATATGTTAAGGATCTGGGAATAATGATGTCCGACGACCTAACGTTTAGGGAGCATAACCAGATGATTTCGGGGCTTTTTAGTGTCCCCGCGGCCCGGTCCTCGACCATCCACCCCCAGGAAGCAGCCCGTGACAGCTGACTAACACCCAGGTACCTATTTTACTGCTAGGTAACAGGGGCATAGGGTGAAAGAAACTCTGCCCATGAACCCAAGACCACAAGACCACAAGTCCCGCGTGCTGTCCGCTCGGCCGACCGGCTCCCTAATAACCAAGAAATAAGCATAACCAAGCAAATATTGCATCTGTCAGAAAAATGATAGGATGGATTACGAGAACTTTCAAATCAAGGGATCCAATCACAATGGTTGTACTATTCAAGCTTGTGCTGTCCCGTCTTGAGTGTAGACGATATATATC